CCTTTTAACATTACCATTGTACCCCTGGGGGGTTGGCCTATAAAACCCCCCAGGAGCCCTCATGCATACGAGCAAGCACGCAAAGAAGTAGCAAACCGATCAGGAGAACACACGAACGCACACAGGGAGAAGGAGCAGCCTAAGCCCTGGCCAGCATTCCTTCTTCCTCCAAACAGCTCTAGCAGTAACTCTTCACTGTTGCATATCAACCACATGAAGCAAATATGCCCTAGAGGCAATAATAAATTTATTATTTATTTCCTCATATCATGATAAATGTTTCTTATTCATGCTACAATTGTATTACCCGGAAACATAATACATGTGTGAATACATAGACATATATAGTGTCACTAGTATGCCTCTACTTGACTAGCCCGTGAATCAAAGATGGTTAAGTTTCCTAACCATAGACATGAGTTGTCATTTGATTAACGGGATCACATCATTAGGAGAATGATGTTATTGACTTGACCCATTCCGTTAGCTTAGCACTTGATCGTTTAGTATGTTGCTATTGCTTTCTTCGTGACTTGTACATGTTTCTATGACTATGAGATTATGTAACTCCCGATTACCGGAGGAACACTTTGTGTGCTACCAAACGTCACAACATAACTGGGTGATTAGAAAGGTGCTCTACAGGTGTCTTCGAAGGTACTTGTTGAGTTGACGTATTTCGATATTAGGATTTGTCACTCCGATTGTCGAAGAGGTATCTCTGGGCCCTCTCGGTAATGCACATCACTATAAGCCCTGCAAGCAATGTAGCTAATGAGTTAGTTACGGGATGATGCATTACGTAAAGAGTAAAGAGACTTGCCGGTAACGAGATTGAACTAGGTATTGAGATACCGATGATCGAATCTCGGGCAAGTAACATACCGATGACAAAGGGAACAACGTATGTTGTTATGCGGTTTGACCGATAAAGATCCTCATAGAATATGTAGGAGCCAATATGAGCATCCAAGTTCCGCTATTGGTTATTGACCGGAAACGTGTCTCAGTCATGTCTACATAGTTCTCGAACCCGTAGGGTCCACACGCTTAAAGTTAGATGACGGTTATATTATGAGTTTATGTGTTTTGATGTACTGAAGGTTGTTCGGAGTCCCGGATGTGATCACGGACATGACGAGGAGTCTCGAAATGGTCGAGACATGAAGATCGATATATTGGACGACTATATTTGGACACCGGAAAGGTTCCGGGTGAGATTGGGACAATGCCGGAGCTCCGGGAGGTTATCGGAACCCCCCGGGAGGTATATGGGCCTTAATGGGCTTTAGTGGAAAGGAGGGGAAAGGAGCAAGGGAGGCCCCCCCCCAAGCCCAATCCGAATTGGGAAGGGGGCCGGCCCCCACTTTCCTTCCTCCCTCCTTCCTCTTCCTTCCCTCTCCCTCTCCAAATAGGAAAAGGAAGCCCCTTGGCCGCCCCCTCGTCCACTCCTTTATATACGGGGGAGGGGGCACCCCATAGACACAACAATTGATCATTGATCTCTTAGCCGTGTGCGGTGCCCCCCTCCACCATTGTCCTCCTCGATAATATCGTAGTGGTGCTTAGGCGAAGCCCTGCGTCGGTAGAACATCATCATCGTCACCACGCCGTCGTGCTGACGGAACTCTCCCTTGAAGCTCGGCTGGATCGGAGTTCGAGGGACGTCATCGAGCTGAACGTGTGCAAGAACTCGGAGGTGCCGTGTTTTCGGTGCTTGATCGGTCGGACCGTGAAGACGTACGACTACATCAACCGCGTTGTGCTAACGCTTTCGCTTTCGGTCTCCGAGGCTACGTGGACACACTCTCCCCTCTTGTTGCTATGCATCACCATGATCTTGCGTGTGCGTAGGAATTTTTTTGAAATTACTACGTTCCCCAACACCACACTCGGCAGGACTAGGGGTGTTATCTCTCCAGAGAGCCCCGAACCTGGGTATGTCTTGCGTCCCGCGCTCACTCATGCCGACCTCGCCTCTGGAGCCCACCAGTGCACTCGATCCTCCTCCTCTCTTTAGCCATCCCTTGGCATCTACTGTGCACCCATCACAATAGTTGGCGCCCACTGTGGGGCAGCTCGAGGTCCTAGCCGGGAGCATGCTTCAGACGGGGCTCCTCCCCGACTCCGACGAGCCCGTCATGCTGGCGGACGATGTCATCGACGCGCTCGCCGCCTCCTTCGCCGCGCTGCGCATCTCCGATGTGCCTGCGGCCGACGAGTAGCCCAGCAAGGTACTTGACTTTTCCGATTCCCCTCTCTCCCTCGGCGGCAGCACTCCTGCCGGGGCAATGGACGTCCACGTGGAGGTTTTCGTCACTCGCACCGATGCCTCTTCCTCGTCGAGCGCGGCGAGGAAGGCCGCCGAAGCCAAGGCTGCAGCGGGTCGGGCCATCTCCCCCAGCCCGTTTCGCGCCATGATGCAGAGCCTTTGCGTCCCCATCGGCACCGACATCGACGCCTCCAACATCGCCGAGGCCCGGGCTCGGCTCAAGGAGGACCGCCAGCGCCTGCTGGACCTGACCGAGATGCTCACCGCCATGCAGCATCGCCTGGACTCCGCTCAGATGGAGCGCAATGCCGCTTACGGCTTCACGCCCTCTGCGGCCGAGTCAAGTCGGGTCGCCGATGTGCGAGCCCGGGGCGGCGCGATCGGCCACGCATTCGGCGTCATCCCGCCTGTCGAGACTCCCGTGAAGAACATGCGCGCTGCCCAGGCGGCCGCAGTCAGCCTGGATCAGCTTGCGGGCGAGGAGTTGAGGGATCGCGTGAAGCGGGTGAACGACCTCCTCGACGCGGCCAACGCGCAGCAAGACCGCCTCAACCAACTCGCCAAGCCGGTGGGATCCTACTACAAAAATGGTTAATCTGGGAGATACAACTATCTCAAATGCATTCATGATATCTGTCTAAAAGAGTGTATTTCATTTTTTTTCTCATACTGTTTCCAGGTAATCAGATATGGCAAGTGCACATGATGAACTCGAGAAGAAGCCACAAGATTCAAATGCTGCACCAATGCGATTTTCACTAGAATATTTAAAAGACATCACATCTGATTTTTCCACTAAGTTAGTGCTGGGGGAAGGTGGGTATGGAGTGGTTTACAAGGTATGTCCAATTTCTTTTTGGCTCCACATTTCAAATGTTAGCAGTAGTGATTAATCAAGAACACACATACTTGCTATGAAGATATGTTTAATTACACAGGGAATTCTTCAATGTGGTAAAATTATTGCTGTAAAGAAACTTCGGGAACTACATCAAAATGGGGACTAAGCACGAAAATGTAGTACAATTTGTTGGTTACTGTGCTGAATCAAAATGGGAATTAAGAGAGTATCACCAAATTTCTTGTGCTGTTTACGGTACCACTATCATAATCATTAAATGCGCTTGAAATTTCTTTTCTTCTGCTTATCAATTCTATAGACGAATCTTTGGGCCTTGAGTGGAATACGAGATATGGCATAATCAAAGGGATTTGCAGTGGCTTGCATTTCCTTCATGAGGAACGCTATATTGTTCATCTGGACCTTAAACCTCGAAATATATTGCTGGATTCTACCATGATTCCAAGGCCGCACCTCTTGATCCAGCCATATGGCATCCCCTGATGGAGCTCACCCGTCCACCCTCCCTTTCTCCACCGTTCCTGATATGCCGGCCTCCACCACCGCCTTCTCTACCTGCAGCCCTTCCTCCTATGACCCATGCAGCCGTGCTACAGCAGCAACGTCCCACCGTCCCCCCCAGCCATCACTGGCCACCCTCTTCTCCAATCTGAACCGGCCGCGCTCCGTGGAGGACCACAACCACCATAACCCCAACCGGTGCTAGATCCAGCTGTCTCCACTCTCATCCTCCTGATTCAAGATCCATGGAGGGGTTGAGATCCTGGGACTGCCCACCCCTCCCTCTCAAATATCTACACGACGAATGGGGGCGGTGGCGTGAATGGGGGAGCAAGTGTGGTGGACAGCGATGGCTCGGACGCGGGCGGAGGGCGGTGGATTTGGTGGACTTGGTCAGTTTGGTGGAATTTGAGATGGGTCCAGTCTGTCTGGTCCGACATGATAGACATGCGCGGGTGCGTCCGGCCCTCCCATATCGGCCCGAGATATGTGCTAGCTGGATATGGAGAGTACTTGTTAGCCCGGACATATAGGGCCGGTTTGAGGAGCCTGCCCAAGTCATGATTTTGTAATCGGTAACTGACCGGGCCTTCCGCCTGGACCTATCGGAGGCGTTCAGGGAGCCCGGCTGTAGATGCTCTAAGCACCTAAGCACACAAACCATGTGCAAAGAAACTATACAAACGCAGGAGGGATCACAAAGGCTGTTGTCGCATGACCGGCAAGAACTAAGAACATTGGTCAGAATGAGAGACATACACGATGAACACACTCAAAACAGGCTCTTGCCCTGTTTATATATAAAGCAATATTACAACAAAGTACACGGCCGAACTATACAATATGGAGGGGAGACCCTCTTACAAGCAGATCAAAAGATAAACATGAACTCGGAACAAACTTAACACCTAGCCTTGGCCCGACCGATGACTCCCGAGCTTCACGACAATGCCCCGAATAGGGTGACGGCGTGAAGTGCGCCGCTGCCGAGTCCAAATAAACACTAGAGTTTTCACCCAGAGCCCTGGCACAAGGACGGGACCCACGACAACGTCTTCAGGTAGAAAACGGCACCCACAGGCGCCCGCCGTTGCCTACACCAGAAATGCAAAGCTTTCGCTCGGAAACTCGCCTACACCACGGGAGGAGTCCCGACCACCACCACAACGTGGGTCAGCTCATCTACAACAAATCTGGGCACTGCCAGAGCAGACCAGTGCCTCCTGCCACTATATCCTTTGCCACCCACACTTGATTTTGGCGCTGCATAAAACTTGCAGCTAAAGCAATAACGAACCTAAGGCTGGATATCCTGCTAACTAGTGATACGTGAAAGAAAAAGGAAACAAATAGATACAGTGACTCTCAAGACGATGGCGGTAGTCCCTCCAGCTTCACGGTTGGGCTCTTTGGATGATTGGCAAGGGTGTTTGCAAACTGTGTTCTGAATGCCTCATCATTGGTACCCTTGAGCAAGACTTCCTTGAGTTCAGATAGATTAGTAAGGCCGGCAAGCTCATATGATGCACTGGAGTAGTCAATCATGAGTACCTCAAGGTTCTTCATCGATTTTGATCCGAAGGTCAGATATAACTCACTGGAGCTGCAAGCAATCTCCAAGATCTTCACCTTTGAGAAGGTGACCAACTGCACCCCACATATCTCGGCATAAAAATGAAGCTTAAGCTGCTTGACTTGAAGGCGTAGAATGCATAGTTCTGGTAGGCTGGCAAGGAACTTAATGTCATGTTCCTGTAAAATACCCATCTCCAGATCCAACTTCCTGAGCTTACTAAGAGGGTTCCTTGATAGTGGCAACTTGTCTTGAAGCCCACACAATGTAAGACTACGTAGGTTTTCCCAAGGCAGGGATATCTCATCCAAGCAATTTTGACTGTCCCTGTCGAGCCGCACTAACAAGGACTCCAAATGCACATGACCTGAAGTTGCAGAGAAGAACTCCCTGCTGTTGTGCCTGCTGATGCCAGATACCCCGAGCTTGCGCAATTGGGTGAGCTTCTTGAGCTCTTCCAGAATGGCCTTTCCTCCTGAAGCACTGACATTGACAACACCAAGCGTGTGGAGCGCCGTCAGTTTTCCAATCCCTCTAGGCACCTCAACACCAATTAGGCCACGATGCCTATGGAACTTCGGCAACCAGCTAGATGAAACAGACAGTGTTGATGCTGGGTCGGTGGTCCCGGCACGGATATATTGTAGCTTCTGTAATTTGGCGATATTCACTGGCAGGGTGACTATGGAAGTCTGTCTCACATCAAGAGTTTGGAGCTGCCTGAGGTCACCTAGTGAACTTGGCAAATGGCATATCTCAATGCATCCTCGTAAAGAGAGAAACTTCAGGCGATGCAGCCGCTCCACCACCTTCTTGAGATCTTCATCCTTCACACCCAATGCGTCCTCCAGGTCAAGCACCCAAAGCAGCCACATACTTTGAGAGATGAAGAAGGATTCCCACTTTCCAAACACTGTCAGCGACCGTAGACGTGAGAAGTCAGTGCTCTCAAACACAATTCTGTCTCTGTCCCAGCTTTTCAAAACAACAAGGTGACGCCCCGTGCGTTGGGTGGTTAGGGCACAGTCGGGACCAAGTTCAAATACAAAGTTCTCTTCCATTCTTCGTGAGACGATGTAATCACGGATGAACCCATTGACCCGACGTGAGACTACCTTTGTGTTTGTGTCACCACTGAATTCAGTGCTGACTGGTCGTGGTATCTCCTCAATTATGCTAAGATCAAGGAGCTTGGAGAAAAACTTCTCCCCTTTATTTACCGCCGATTCTTCATCGCTGTCTCTGGAGTAACCTTCGGCAATCCACCTCCTTATTAGCCGCCTTCGTTGAATGCTGCGGCCTGGAGGAAAAACTGATAGGTAGAAGATGCATGGCTTAAGTGAATCTGGGAAAGTACTGAAGTAAGAATGCATCCAATCAAATAGGCCTCGCAGACTTTCATACTCCGGATTGGTCTCCAGATGCTGGATAAATTTGTGATTCAACGAGTGCACATTGTCCATCAGCATTTCCGTCTCTCTGGCCAATAAGGCAGCAATAGAAACTATCACCTTGGGAAGACCTCCACACTTCAAAATAAGTTGTTCTAGCTCAGCATCCCTCTGTCGATATAAAGGGGATGATGGATTCTTCTTGTGTACCTATTGTTCGAACAGTTTAACATTAACTAATGCTAGTTAGTCCATATGGTAAGCATCAATTGCGTTCTAGTGTATGGACATATGCAACATGATACAGATGCATGCATCAGAATAATGAATTTTTGCAAATATAACATAAAATAGTTTATCATTATGTTAGGATATCCTCTATTCGTGGATAAAAGAACTCAGCTTATATGATATGTATGGATAGAAAAATAATAATTAATTAAATGTTATGGCATTCCGACCACTTCCGCACCATCATCTCTCACCGGTAGAATGGTAGGCGGTGACTGGCGCCAGGTCAATATGTGGCGGGAAATACTCCAAAAATGGTGCATTATGCTGGGATCAAACCCCCCGGTCTTGAGCGAGACACGCTGAAGGGCCAATAACTAACTAGACTAGCAAACTTTCTGATGTATTACATCCAACATTATGTGTATTCATTTGACCTAAGGTATTTTTTTGGAAAAATAGCTTAATATTTTGTTTTTTATTGCCAATGAACCGATGAGCTGGGGTCTGACCGGTGAAACCTGAATCGGCAACCTCATCAATTCGGTTTTCTAAACTATGGGGTACTCTGCTGGTTCACCTTGTCTCCGGTGACCTTAGGGCCATATGCCGGCGCGGTGGATCCCGGTCTTTGCCTGCGGGAGGGCCTTGTTTATAGATGTTCTTCGAGTTTTGTTAGGGTTTGTATCTTGCTCAGGAAGAGTGACGACAGGGACTCCCTGAAGATGAAATAAGATTCTCTCCACCTTGACATAGTCTCGGTGATGTGTCTAGCTTCCTTGGTAGGTGTGCGGAGGTATCTCGGTTTGTATCTTGCCTTCGGTATGGCTTCATGCCAAATACTCATGTATATCTTCAGCGTGTCCTTATTCAAAGTATATCATTTTGGTTATGTCTCCTATATCGTTTACGAGTACTTCTTCAAGGTATATACTTGTATTGAAAAGGTGTATAATTATAGGTATGTAAATTTACTCAAAATACCGTTCACGGGCATGTCTTCATTTTTTGGTATCTCGATTATCATTTACAGGTATGTGTTCCTTTTTGGGCATGTCTCCAATATTGTTTACGAGTATATCTTCAAGGCATATACTTGTATTGAAAATGAGTATGATTATAGGTATGTAAATGTACTCAGAAATTTCTAGGTATCGTTCACGGGTATGTCTTCATTTTTTTGGTATCTCCAATATCATTTATGGCTATGTCTTCATTTTTTGGGTATGTCTCCAATATTGTTTACGGGTATGTTTTCAGGGCATATATCCCTTTTACTGTTTTTGGGTAAGTCTCCATAATATTGTTTCCTCTATAAATCAGTAGGTATGTATATGTAATCAAAAATTTACTGGGTATATATGTAGACAGGAGATCCCTGGTTGGGGATTGGTGGAACGCGTGGTTGCACCTTGTCCGCAGGTTGATGGAAATTCAACTATCGGACCATGAGGATACGATTCACTGGAAATTAGTTGCGAACGGGATATTTTCAGTGAAATCTATGTATCTAGACTTAATTGATTTAGGGCCATTGTCTAGGTCTCTACACATATGAAATATTAAGGTTCCGCTCCAAATTAAGATTTTCATGTGGTTCGTTCACAAAGGAGTCATTTTGACCAAAGTTAATTTGCTTTAAAGAAGTTGGATCGGTAACTTCAGATGTTGTTTTTGTGATCACAATGAAACGATTAAACATCTCTTTCTCGAGTGCCCACTTGCAAAATTATTATGGCGCTCAATTCATATAGCTTTTAACGTCCATCCCCCAACGAGTATAAACTTGTTATTTGGAACTAGGCTCAATGGAGTAGACTTACATACACCGCAACATATTCGGATAGGGATATGTGCATTAGTATGGGCGATATGGAATACTAGAAATGATGTGATTTTTAATGGGACAAACTTCACGAATATTTTGCAGGTAATCTATAGAGCTACAACGTCGATCTGTATGTGGTCATTACTCACTCGTGTGGACTCCAGGGAGCTTTTGGTTATTGGGTGCAACCGTTGGGAGACGGTAGCACGGGCTATCTTTAGCCGATTTGGATGGCGTACTGATAATAGGCTAGGTGTATAGGCATCGTAGCTTGATCTGTTTCGCCGGATGTGCCATCTTTCTTTGTTTTATTTCGTTCTGCACTATGATTTTGGGCCCTAGTGACCCTAATACTTTGATAATTTATCGTTAATAAGATGGCTATATATATATATATATATATATATATATATATATATATATATATAGAGAGAGAGAGAGAGAGAGAGAGAGAGAGGATCTTTTTCTATAGGGAGTTAACTTGAGGTATAAACGTTCAAAATGTTTTTGAATGAACCTATAATAGCTTGCAAAATTATAGAGCAAACAACATGCAATTTTTCTGTATATGCATTTCTTTATAGGGACTTGAGTATGCACTTACAAATATATTAGTTGCTAGATTTCTCAAAATAAAAGTTACTATCGAATTTGGCATATCTCTAAATATCTTATTTTGTGGGGACTTGAGTATGTCACATTCATGGCTATATTTTTTTGAGAGGCGAGTTCCTATGCATGATGGTAGCTACGCACGCATGCATGGTGGCAGCTACACATCCTTTAGCATAAATGCCTTTTTTATATATGAGGTGCTGGGTTTCTTATGGATTTGGCACAAGTGCATTTTTGTTGTACAGAAATAATTTTTTCTCACATCTCTTTGTCGTTTTATTTCCTTTTTGAAACAAGTGCCTTTTCGTTGTGTAAAAAGTGCCTTTACTCACTTCTCTCACTCTTTTTGCTTGCCTTTTTGGTATAATTGTGTGTTTGCTTACCTAGCTGGTCCAAAGTCACGATATTTTTGTTATAGAGTTATTTTTCATAGTCCAAAATAATTTACCAAAGTAATTAGAGATAAAAATTGGGGCCGTGCGTAGCTACCACCATGGGTAGCAAATTATTTCTGTATTGTTTTTTTGCAAAACTGGGTATATAAATTTCGGAATGTGACATATGGGTATGTCACATTTGTTTAATTTTATATTTCCAAATACCTGGGATATGATATACCCATAGTATTTAAATATATTTGTGGGTATTCAATATACAACAAATATGAAAATTGATTGTGGATTTTAACAGTCATACCAAAATCATACAATAATACGTCATACACATAACAATGCCCATGTATTTATGTTGGGAGGCACGAGATTCAAATTAGCCTATAAAAGAATCCGCACATGGATCATGTAACATGCATCTTCTTTTGGAAGTGCATCAATTGACAATGAGCAAATGGCATGTGACGTTTTTGGCAAGAAAACAATTGTCGTGGAGGGTCTAGTGCATGCTTAGAAAGTTTGAAATGCGATCTAACTAGTGTGATGGGAAAGAAAAATCCTAACATTTTACCATGGTGCGCCAAACGTATACCCTTTTTCTTAGAGCGAACGTCAGATTTTTAGGTATGTCAAATCAAATGTTTTTTGGTGATAAAATATTTTTTTCATGGTGGCAAGTTTAGTTGACGAGCACGACTAATTTGCCTGTTCATTTATTTCAAAGAATTGACGTGTTCGTCAACTAAATTTGCATTTTTGCACCAACATCAATTGACATGAAAAACATTAAATTTTCCATGAGCATTTTCCTTTCTTTTACAGTAGTGATTTTCCGTAGGATATTAGCCATTAGGTTTAATATTGTGTTGATCTAGTATATTTATATGGATGTACTGCATATATAAATGGGTCTCAACCTATTTTTATCATGATATATGTTTGCATTGCTAAATTCAAATATTTATGCTTACAGTTATGTGTCAGTATTTTCATGAGAGATGTTACTAGTGAATCTATGAACCCTGGTCAAATTTCCTCTATAAGAAAACCACCAAATTCATTTAGAGGCACTTTCATTTTGATTTATTATATCTTCTAGAATAGAAAAATATATGTTTCATTATCTACTCATTACTTTGTTGCAACCTATGTCTATCTAAAATTTCTCGAAATGTGCTATATGAAAAAAAATCATGTGAGTCCATTGTTTTTTTATATTTAAAAATAACTTCATATTTGTACATATAGAATAATATACTAAAAAACAGTACATACTATGTAAAAAGTGGGATACATACAACCCAAATATTCTTATATACTACATACTACGGTTTTGACAGCTATATATTCCACCCAGTGCATATGAAGTCGTATTTACCAAATCGCTCTTTTGGGTCATCTTACATCATTGTCGTGATTTTGTAGTATCTTCTTCTAACATTTTTAAGAACTTTTAAAATGTTAAAACCATAATGAGTATCCTAGATACCGTTAATATCTACATTTTCCCCTACAACACCGTTAAGAGTCATAGAATATCTTTCTAGTTAGTTGTTGTCAAAATGCTCTTTAACCATATTGAATTCGTGAAAATATTATACAAGAACATGTTAAGCCTAATTTATATGTTTTTGGTGATATATTGTTTGCACCATTTCTACAACGATTAAAAAGTTATGGTAGAAAATCTCAAAGACCATAGATGTGGATATAATTATTATTTTAAATTTCTCATAAACCATAAAAATATATGCTGCCACGAGTCTCCTCTGTGTGTAATGTTTACTTTAATATCGTAGGAGATTGGCTCTTTCAATGTGGCTAGTCGTTAGTTCATTTTGCCTAGTGACGTAGGAGCCACGACAGTTCGCTTGCTCATTCTAGGAAACTTAGTTATTTCATCCATGGTAGTTTGCATATTCAATTTGCTAGTTTCGACTTTGGAATAAACAATTGATATATATATATATATATATATATATATATATATATATATATACGTATATATATATTACAAAAAAATACAGGTAGTTAATATCTTTCTAATGGTATAAGGCTTCCTTCATTCTGACACATGGTTTCAAAGTTATGATAAATTAAATATCTAATGGTGTTTCGTAAATACAATCTTAAAAAATGCTCCAAAACAATTTTTTTTGGAACATGTTCCGGAAAGGTTGAAGCTAACCAAAGTATTTTCAATGGCATATAGTTTGCTTCATTTCTATGCATGATTTGAAGGTTTTGATAAAGAAATCAATGGCGTTTGATATGTATTTTGGAATTTTTAGAACTACTCCTAAATTGTAAATATTTCAAAAATATTCTATTTGAATAAGTTGCCAGTAATCCATATCTTCCCAATGGTATGTTGCTAGCAACATTGTAACACATGGTTTTAGGTTACAGCCAAAAACATAGGAAAATGGAGAAATACACCAAGAGTTTGCATCTTTGTCTATGAAATTTTTGAAGTGGTTGAATTTAATCTTGTGAGTGAAGCTGGACGACGAACACTGGTACATGGAGTGTTAGGCTTGTGAGTTGTGAAATCATGCATGACAGACTGGATAGATAGAATAGCTGTCAAAAAATGGAAACTTAATATCATGACTTGTAAGGAAAACACACCTCTTTCCTGAAGAGATCCATGGCTGCAGCAGCTTCCAGACCTTTGACATTGAAGACTTGCTCTTTGTTAGTTGTGCAATATGTGGCAACACTAGCTTCAGTTGTAATGACAATGATAACACTTGTAGAAGGTCTAGATACCAAGGCAGCCTCTATTGAGTCCCATTCTTCTTTGGACTGCAGACCATCAATAACCACGAAGCAATGATGTTCGCTCAAAAGCTCGCGACATTCTTTAATGGGGTCTCTTTCCAAATAATAGTTTTCCGACTGATAAACGGAAAGTAAGCTTCGAGAAAAATCCCTTAAATTGAATGGATGTGAGACATCGACCCAATTGTACATGTTAAATTGGTTGCTGTGAAGCATTCTGTCATATTGCAAGTGTCTAACAAGAGCAGATTTCCCAATGCCAGCTATCCCCCAAACAGAAATAACTGGCGAACTGTTGAAACGTGGCGAAGTTGTATAAATGCGAAGTTCATTCATTTGTAAGTCGCGCCCAACAAGGGGGTTATTTTCCATCCAGTTCTTTACCGCTATTCTCTTGGGGGAGAGAATTTTTTCCGTGGACGAATATGGACTCACTTGACACATAATTGGTTTCTCTTTGTCTGTATAGCCCTCAGCACCCTGCAGGTGTGGACACATTTTACTAACAAGTAACAAGCAAGAGGCAAGATGCATATATAAAGAGCTTGTAGTACTAATTTGCTACGCTAGCTATCTTCACAGGAAAGAGAAAGCATGTATTCTGCAGTGAATGCGGCCATACTTGGACATGTAGGATCCGGGAGATAGAAAAGCAGTCTTGCTAGAATTAAATGGCTGTAAAACTCTGGTTAAACGTGTTAACTAACGCTTTGTTAAATTTTGCATTTGAACATGATTGTTTACAAAAGGGAAGTTTCGGTCATTAGACACTAATGTACATTCTTAATAAAAAAAGCTTTATTGCATTCAGTGTCAAGTCTAAGTTTCATATTAATACTTAATACTAATAATTGATATTTTCTGGAAAGTAGGTCGAAAAATTGGGATGTTGTCTGTCTCGTTGTGCAACAAAACATGCTTTTATCCAACGTTATAATAAGGAAAATTTTGGTTAGTGCCACTATCGAACTCGGATAATCCAAAGTTGCCACTCAAACTTCATCAATTCAATCCTTGCCACTAGTGCTTGCGTTGAAATTAGTTGCATGTCATTGCACGCTGTCTCCGTCGCACCAAGCCTTGTTTCCGTCTACCTTGTCCCATTTTCTCCTCTATGGAACCCACCACTTGTCATGTCAAGTGCAAAGAGCGGGAGATGCATTTACCTTTCTTCCGCTATGGTCCCACCGATGTCAAGACGGGACGGACAAACAACCATAATTTCCACTTTCCCCTGTTTGCACGCCACACCAATACATGTAGGCTCATGTATTGAACACAAGTGACTGTCAGGTCTCCCACGACACGACGGACATACCGATCGATTATAACTATCACACCCACCCAGGTGTTAGCTACAACATTCACCTTCATCGCCCTCTCCTTGTGCTCCCTCAGCAAGTCTAGCGCTTGACCTAGCCCACATGATGTTCGCTATGGCACCGCCCATCCCTACCATTCACATTTGCGCAGCCGAGATCTTTTCCGTCACTTATGTGCAGTGGCCAAAAGCCCGGTTTCTAATGAAGTATGCAAGCGTACCCCATTTTACCATGGCCGTGGGCATATGGGGCGATGGTGGCCGGCCTCCAGGTCACCCTAACCACCCAGCGCTAAAGAGGACATCGCACCGGGTCCGGCACCCCATCCACTGAGGAACGCCATCATGGCAAAGAATGAGGCCAAGCGCGCCCACGCGGAGTAGGAGCATGCCTGCGGCTATGCCCCCTCTCTGTCAAGCAGCGTGTGGAGCGCAAGTATTATGAGTTTCAAAGGTACTTCCGTCATTGTGCCCGCGTGACAGAGACCTATAGCCGAGACACAACCCTAGGATATGCACTGGTCCTGATCTTCATTCGGATTTCAAGGGTGGTCCATCTTGAATTCACGTGGGCGCCGACCTTCGAGGACATGCGTGAGGCACTCGACCGCGAGACAAAGCCTCGCAGCACCTCGCTGACCTCAAAGCCAAGCTGCAAGCAGACTATGTACGACTCGCTAAGAAAACGTCGATGTCCGTTGCCAAAATATGCGATTTCTACTGCCGTTTTAGAGTGCACGAGTTCTCTTGCTATTTAGGACCCCTCTGATTTGTAGGGATCCATTAGTAGCTAGTTTAAGTAGTCACTTAATGTAACAGGATCCTTTTAATCAATAGGCAAAGGGGGCCATTGTAAGCAAGTGTTTTTCCAACTTCTGTGAAATTTTGTGAGATATTTATGACAAGTTAATATACCACAGCTTTTGCAATTTTTGCCGACTTTACATTATATTTGTATTTTTCTTCTTCTAAAATAGGTAGAGATAATGCTAAATAATGATTATTACATAAAATGGCAATTTAAATTCACATTAGTTATTACAGATATTAAACCAAAGTGCATTCAAGTGTTCGTGGTGAAGATTAAAATGAGCAATGGAGAAAAGGGTGTTGTCGATATTTGGATGTAATAATCTACTTAATGAACAATCATGTTTTCTCTTATATTTATTATTCTCAGAATTTTAACATAGTATATTGTGTCAATATTAGGACTCTTTCAAAATTATTAGTTACTTTTTACAATGTTTAGACATTTTACCTTTTTCTCTCTTAAATAGATAACGCTGATTACTACATATTTTTTTTGATTTTAATTCACATTCATTCTTACAAATATTCAATAAAGGCATAGTAAAAGTTACAACTTGCGTCCCCGGACTGAAGAGCAACAGATGCAGAGGCCTTGCCGCCACCGTCGGTAGCATGGGCTTCGCCAAACAGCGTCCTCAGACGGTAACAAAGGTGAGGAAGGGGGAAGTGAAGGGTGCATCAGCACTACGGTTGGAAGCCCCTGACT